GGTGAGGAGCGTGAGGTGACCGTGCAGGGCCTGGAGCCCGGGCGCAAGTACAAGATGAACCTGTACGGCTTCCATGAGGGGCAGCGTGTGGGCCCCAAGTCCACTGTAGGCAAAACAGGTGCGTGTACTTGGGGAGCAGGGTAGGGTGTGGTTGGATGCTATACCTAGGAGAGTTTTTCTTTTTCTCCCAGCTTCCAGAAAGAAAAATGTCCATCTTAGAGCTTCCGGGAACACATTAAGCCCATCTCAATCACCAGACACCTTGTAAAAGTCAGGCTACTCCATCAGCACGAGCCTTGAGCTAGTGCATTCTAGCAACTTCCCCCTGCGATGCTGATGATTTTGGTCCACAGGTCTTACTTTGAGTTATGAGACTGGGTGGCAAAAATGTGTGGACATTTTCTTAGAAATTAACCTGCATTAGGATTGCTCATCTAGGCAGCTCCCTGGTGACCAGGTACAGGATAGAGATAAGAGGTTCCAGGTTGTGTTGCATCCTGGTTCAGCTAGTCACAGATTTATTGATTCACTGAGTGGATAAACACATGTCAGCCCAGAGCAGAGTGCCACAGGGCTCAGTGCAAGGCCACTGGAGCAGTCTTCGATGTGACAGCCCTACTAGTAATTACCCTAATGGGAGCACTGGACTGCGGTCAGGTAGTGAATGTGCATATTGAGCAGAGGGGCAGGATCTTGGGACAGGTACACCGGGCTCGACCAGGATGAGCCAGGACTTCTCAGCCACTCAGGAGTCATGGTGACCGGAGAGGTAAGGCCTGGGAATGGGTGGGGTTAATCAGTGTTTGAGGAGGAAGAAGAAGGTGTCTGATCCTCACAGCAGGTACAAAGGCCTGGAGGCACCAAAATCCTGGAGGATCCCCCCTGAGGGGGGAGATGGCTGGATATGAGTCCAGAGGGGATAGGATGGTTCATGGGGTGTGGGCTTGCTTCATCTAGGAGGGTGGTTGTACAGTTTTAGGCTGAAGATTGAAATTTTTATTTTTTTTTAAACTCACTCTGGCTGTTTGGTGAAGAATGAGTGGGAAATAACATCAATAAAGGGAATCTTCTATAAATTAAGTCTCTGTGTGTATCCAAAACCTTTTCCAATAGGGTGAAATGAAACCAACTGACCAGGAGAAAACATTTGATGATAATATCTCAGATAAGAGTCTCATAACAAAAATCTACAGAATACTTCTGGGCTTACACTAGAAAAAGTCTGTTAACCAAATTGCAAATTGGGTAAAAAGATATGGATAGACCTTTCACAGATCACGACATTCAGATGACCAACAGACACATGAAGGGATGCTCAAAATTATGGGCAATAAAAGAGATGCAAATTAAAACTACAGTGAAATACCATCTCACACCAGTGGCAGTGGCAAAGTTTTAACAGGACAATAAGCAAGCAATGTTGGAGAGTTGGAGAGGGTGTGGAGAAACAGAATCTCTCATACACTGTTGGGGGAACTGTAAAATGGTGAAACAAGACAATTTTGTGTTCCCTCAATAAGCAGAATGTAGAGATTCCATACAAAACAACAATACCACTGGTAGGAATATATGCCAGGATAAACAGAACAGATACAAAAGGAGATGTGTACACTAATATTCACAGCAGCATTATTCACAATAGCAAGTGAAAGGAAACAGCCAAAATGTCCATCATCAAGTAACTGGATTGAGAAACTGTGGTCCATTCACACGATGAAATACTGTGCAAGATTCAAGACCAATGATTTTGAAAAATAATATGTAACTTGGGAGAGGCTAGAGAGCATTATGCTGAGTGAACTAACTTAGGTGCACTAGAGCAAAGACTGTATAAATATCCATAACTGTAAAAACAGAAGGATTATCAGTGAGATGTGTATGCATGTACAAACAGTGTGTGTTGTTGTTATGTGCCGTCGAGTCGCTTGCGACTTATAGCGACCCTATGTACAACAGCCCTAAACCCTGCTCTATCCTGTGCCAATCACACTGTCTTTGACTCACCCATCCCAATTACCCCAGTCACTGAATCAATCCACCTCAGAGGGCCCTCCCCTCCTGCGCTGTCCCTCCACCCTCCCAAGCATGATGTCCCTCTCCAAGGACCTGTCCCTCCTTACCTGTCCAAATTATGTCAGACGAAGCCCCAGAATCCTTGCCTCCAAGGAGCAACCTGGTTTAACCCTCTCCAGGATGAATCTCTTTGTTTTCTTGGCAGTCCATGGTACATTCAATACTCTTCTCCAGCACCACAGCTCAAAGGCATCAATTCTCCTTCTATCCTCCCTAGTCATTGTCCAGCTCTCTGATGCATAACAAGTGACTGCAAAGACCATAGCCTGTATCAGATGCACCTTAGTCTCCAGAGTGACACCATTGCTCTTCAGTACTTTGGAGAGGTCCCTAACAGCAGACTTTCCCATCACAATACATTTTTTAATTTCCTGGCTGCTGGTGCCAATAGTGTTGACCATGGAACCAAGCAAACTAAAGTTGTTAACAGTCTCAATCTCTTCACCATCCATCCTTATGCTGCCAATTGGTCCAGTGGTGAGAATCTTTGTCTTCTTGACAGTGAGCCTCAATCCATACTGAAGGCTGCAGTCCTTGACTCTCTGCAGCAACCATTTCAGGTCCTCCTCAGTTTCAGCGAGCAGGGTTGTGTCTTCTGCATAACGCAGATTGTTAATAGATCTTCCACCAATCCTGATACCACACTTCTCTTCATAGAGCCCAGCCTCTCGGATAATTTGTTCTGCATACAGGTTGAAAAGGTATGGAGATAGGACACATCCCTGGAGTACACCTTTCCCAATTTTGAACCATGCAGTGTTTCCCTGCTCTGTTCTGACAACTACCTCTTGGTCCAAGTATAGGTTTCTCATTAGAACGGTCAAGTGTTCAAACAGCATGTAGTAGATGTTTATAAAGAGTAATGAGTACTTAGAACTGTGCCACCAATGAAAGGAAATCATTTCTGAAAAGATGCGTTTCTATACCAGAGATCTGTCTTATCCATACTCTGGAAAAGTAGAGTCAAGTCTTAAGTAATACTTTTTTAATCATACCCTGTAGTATTCTAGATGTAGGACTGTATCATACCTCTGTGAATATAAAATATTTGTATCTGCTTTATTATATGTAACAGTGGCTGTGCTATAATCAGAGCTTTAAAAAAAATGATGCTATGCTCGGGTGGCCTAGTGGCAAGAATCTGCCCTGCAATTCTGAAGGCACAGGGTTCGAGGCCACCAGCTGCTCTGCAGAAGGACGGGCAATAGCCTCCGGTGCAGTTAACTGCCTCCGAAAGCCCACTGGAGGGTCAGCTATGGGGAGGTTCTGACTCTGTGGTACACAAGAACAATTCTAGAATGTTTTCTTTCCAGGTAGTGATTGAAAAGCTTAAAAAAAAATGGTGCAAGGTACCACAACAGGAACAGAACTTTACTGTTTATAGAGGTTTTGTTTTGTACATGTGTTGGTTGGTTGTTGTTTTGGTGGTGTTTTTAAATGGAGTGTACTGAATGTGTCTCTTATCTTTATTCTGATGACTATAAAACCTGAAAAAGCTGTTGCTGCTTTTAATGCAAAACATACAGCAAGTGGTCTTTTTCTATAAATATGCGTGGATATGTGTGTGTGTGTTTATGTGTGTATCTATACATATACATATAATTTGAATATTTGGATCTTTAACTGTGCTGTCATCTTTGGAAAAATATCCCAGTTGTAACTTGTTGAGTTGGCCCTGTACAAATATTAACAGTCATATTGGTCTAGAAATGTTAACCTTAATTTTGTTTTCCTCATTTGTACAAAGGTAATGCAGTGTAGCACATAATTAAGGTCTTACCAACATGGGTTTGACTACACAAACTAATATTCTCTAAAAGAAAAAGAAAGAGTGGAAAGAGGGAAAAAATAGGAGCAGCAAAGTAGTACCCCAGGAAAGGTGATGGTGCCTCAACCTAGAGATGGGGAAGGAAGGGCCCCTGGAGGCACTGAGGAAGGAGAACTGCCCCTGTGATCGCTGAGCAAGGGAGGAGCCCAGGACATTCCTGGGGGTCGAACACCAAGTGTCCTGAGTTGCCTTGAGCAAGGCAGCACCCAGCACCTGTCCCTCTGTCTTTCTCCAGAAGATGAAGTCAGGAC